CACTTGAAAGAAAATGCGATTTATGGTCACTTGTGATTTGAAGAATTTAATACGTTGTAATCTTTTTCCTCTATGCTGTGTCCCTTCAGGAACTCGTCGATCATGGCTCTCCACCACTTCGGAGATCTGAGCAATGTTTGTCCCTCACACTTCTGCTCTTATTCACTGTTTCTTCCATCCATCACGCCTTTAATATGTCCTGAGAGTGTTAAATTTTCAAAGCCTTCTTTTTTCTTATGTGTCCAAGAAATGTCAACCGTCTCTTACTGATTCTAATGTAAAAACCGTTTTTTATTTCTATTGTTTAAAACTACCTCGTTACTCCCATGCCCCCTGTAAGATATTCTCAGTATCCTACTGTAGAAAAACATCTCTATTGCCTCAAGTCAACTCTTCTCGGAGAATATAGTCCAGCAGTCACTTCTATATAGGAAGATTGATACTGTATACAAGCCGTGCGATATTTTCTTTGTTTCTAATTAAATTTACTTACTTAAATACTTTGCTAGATTTTGAAAGGCAGATATTTAATATTTTGCTTAGATTTTGAAAGGCAGAAATTTTATACTTTGTCTAGATTTTGAAAGGCAGAAATTTTATACTTTGCCTAGATTTTGAAAGGCAGATATTTAATACTTTACCTAGATTTTGAAAGGCAGATATTTAATACTTTACCTAGATTTTGAAAGGCAGATATTTAATACTTTATTCTGAAGGTTCGTTGGAATTTGGAATGTACATTTTCTGGTTTTTTTTTTTAATAGTTTTACCCCACGCAAGGTCATAATGCCACTAGAACACAGAGAGTTACAGTGAGTGAAAGAGAATGAGAAGACTTTATTGGGGAGGATTGAGAAAAGGAGAAAAAGGAACAGGGTTCAAGAAAAAGGAAGATGGCGATTGACGTTGCATTTAAATTTTTGAAGATTGTAGTTATTAAGGAAGCGAGAAATCCGAAGGAAGTTCCACACGTGAGAAGTGCGAAAAATAAACTGTCAGAGTAGAAGTGACGGATGCATCTAGCTAGTTCAACAGTAAAACTGTAAGACCTAGTTGCCAATCTAGCAACATGGTTAAATTCACGCAGTCAAGACACCAAGGAGGAAAGCTCATCAGGACAATTACCAAGAAAATATTTATAGAAAAGACAGAGGGAAGCCACCTTACGTTGGTTTGAAAGGAACTGAACACAAGATGCCTGGTCAGTATCAATAGATAATTCGATATCTATTATGTATACTTGTATAAAAATTATCAGGGAAACAAGAAATCTGAGTTCCACAGGTGGGAAGTACGAGAAAAGAAGCTTTTAGTGTATAAGTGGCGGTTACAACTAGTTCAGCAGTAAAACGGTGAGACCTAGTTGCCAATCTAGTAGCACGCTTAAATTCATGCATCAGGGTTCTTCGTTAAAGCACTTCTCAGATATTGACATTTTTGTATTTGATTGATGTTTGACGATTCAAAATTCTTGGCTTGCATCTGTTCTGCTTTCTGATCTTCACAGACTCAATCTTACAACTGATGATTTTCTCTCTTATCAGATTTTAACTCAAGTTCTAGTTGACAATCTCAAGAAAATCTATTATTATTTACTGCTTCATGTTTTATCGATAGACTAAAGGTACGACACAAAAATCTATTTAAACTACTAGAAAAAACTGAATTATTTTAGAAAGATTTTAGAATAATCGTGTATAATATCGTGTTGCGTTCTGTGTCGACTAAGCTACTATATAAAATGGTATGAGGGAAAAGAAGGATTTCTTTTTTCTTATTCTTTTTAGTGGAAAAGAGAGGTGGCAGCTTGGAGTATAAGAGGCAGCGGAAAGAATGCTGTCACAGGTATGTACGTCGCACGTTAGCTAAGCGTCCCTCCGCGGGCGGACTTAGCCGGTCGTTAACCTGGGTGTGGGAGACATATCGACGCTTCAGAATTATTGCGTCTCTCTTTTGTATTCGCGCCGTTTTGCACATATCAAAAACCAAGACAAAGGCAATGCATCACTGCCAGAATACCACGCCCATGAGCCACTCCAGCAAATCGCTGACCATTCTGACCTTGACCTTCGCATTCTGTAACAATCGCCTGCATACGGATAGAAGGTGAACTGAACAAGGACACAAAAACAGAAAGTCTTCTCACTTGATTTATTTAAACTCTACAGCTAGGCTATCCGAAGAGGACTAGAAGTTCGAACGGGATTTTTTTTGGTGGACTCAGTATTAACAACATAAGATATTGTTATACCGGAACATACCTATTCTATTGTTAATAGACTCTCCCACAGATAATAAGTAGTAGTAGTAGCAGTCGCCAGTGGGCTCAGTGGAGTTGAGTGAGTCAGTCGATGTCGGACATTGAATTATCAACCACCACAACTAGATTGCTGCATCATTAACTATTATTTCAAGTTCCTAACGTTTTGTACGTCGAACCTCTTTTAGGACCGACTTAGTTAAATACAAGCCTCCACTGTGAAAACTACTCTACAACACATTGGCGACGAGGGATTCGTTACTCATACGGAGAAAAGGAAAATTTTTCGTTCACTCTATAACAGATATACATATTACTCCGCTTTGATAACAGATACAAGAAAAAGCTGCATCTATTTGTTGCTTTAGTTGGGTTATCTGAAGTCGAAATGTAAATATTTTGTCCGCAGTTTTATGCCTTCAATTACAGATAACTTGTCTATTTTATTATTTCAGGGTAAACGTATGCTTTACAGATATATAGTTTGTAGATGATCTATTGTAGGTGTTATATGTGTTGGTATAAACCTATTTCTTTACTTTAATGTCTCCAGGGACTGCTTTATCTTCCCAGATTTGATGTTTCAGAAGGATTAGCTGGGTCTCCAGTTATAGGCAACTGTAGGAGAAAAATCCTAGAGGCACATTTCCGGATTTCATGAAGCGAATTGCTTGTTTCAATTCATGAAAGGTTGGGCGGAGTGACATCCAATGCCGTGTAGGGAGTTAGTGGGCGTTTCGCAGCAGGACTTGCTGCGTGGTCGTCGAGAACGTTCTAGAAGTAATTTTTCTAGCGGTCCATTTTTCAAAAAAAAATTAAACGTTAATGAACAGCAGAAAAGGACGTGATAAGTTCATGTGATTCTCTACATAAATGTGAAAGCACGTGTGATACTCTGTCATCGTTATCCGCCAACTAGGGGTGGTAACATAGTTTAAGTTGCTGAGGCGGTACTGCCACCTCTGGCGCCACCAGCATCTTTTGCCACCGGACAGAGTAATGTTTTTGTATACGGGTCAGTCTCTGCTATTTTTCTTTTTTTTACAACTCAACTGAAATTTTCAACGTTGTGTTAAAAACAACAACCCGCTCGTAGCGACCTTTATTAATGACGTAGAATGGAAGGTAAACAGACGTGTTTCACATCAGAAGTAGCCCTGTGTTGCGAGCATGGTTTGTTTTAACTTTATTTATTTTGGATCCTGACCATATCCAACTCGATGCCTGTCGAGCTGTGGTCTAGAGACGATACGAAGAACGCTTTAGGTTCCGGCCATGATTTAAGTATATTTCAAAATTGCGTAGTTTTCAAATGAGGAAAGGAAAACTTACCATTAACATTCTTAGGAATAGAGCTTATTGCAGTTTTAGACCGACAACAGGACAAGACCATCGTAATTTTGTTAAAGAAATTGCGACAAGAAATGCTTGATGAACAGAAAGTAAGCAATGCAAATACACAGAACTACAGTATAGCTACGTTCCATAGATTGTAAAAAGGTGATAATTTAGGGTACAAAGACTTAATTGAAATACTAAAAGAAATCTATCTATATGTCCGTCACAATCTCTTCATATCTCTAATTAACTCTCTCTCTCTCTCTCTAGTAGCTCTCTCTATATATATATATATATATATATATATATATATATATATATATATAGAGAGAGAGAGAGAGAGAGAGAGATTGATAATATTAGAGGTAAATATACATACATATGCAAAATATATAAATACCCATACATGTATATTTTTTAATGTCCTCCCTCTTATTCTGATCTTCAACATTAGAACATCTATGGTGTGTGTATGTCACCACGAAATGTGTCTATGCATTAGACATCCGAAAACATTCATATTTCTCTTACTTAAACCCCTTCCACTCACCTCTCCTAAAATTCTCTCTGTTAACGTTTAATCTCCCTCCTTCTCTGTTATGTTACCCCTCATACTTACACTCTCTCTAAATTCTGTTTTTATTTCCGGAGTTATTTTTTCTGTTTTCTTTTTGAATTTGTAGGTCTGATGAATTGGATCGTATTTACGATTCCAATGGAATAAATTCTGACCATGGAATATTAGTGTTTAAGCCTTTTTATTATATATATATATATATATATATATATATATATATATATATATATATATATATATCTATCTATCTGCTCCACTAAGTACCTGACTCCTCCTGTTGTCCTCTGCCTTTAGAAGAGGCAGATAAGGCCAAATAGAATACTGTTGACATATATGGGGAGGAGCTTCCCAGTTTTCAATTTCCCGTTTCGATAAAGTCCGAAAGCCTCTCGGCGCGTCCTTATGGGTGATGAATTATTTTCCGCTCTACTATCCCTTTCCCACAAACGAAACGTTGCATGCCTTTCGCTACTCTATCGATATGTCCATGGAAAGTGTTCTTACGAACTACATTCCTTCGTTCTCCTAGTTCCAATGTTCATAGCTAAGACGCCCCCCCCCGCACGCAGTAGGCAACCACCATAGTTCTCTTCGTATTTCATTGGTGATATAAGTTCCACTCGAGTAGTTTCTTTTCACGATCTCTTGGTTTATGGAACCAACCTCCCAAGATGATGCCCTCCTTTACTACCACAATGCTAACCAGTTCAATGTAGGGTTAATCGTTACCTTCCTCACATATTCCATAAGCTGTTTCTCTTACACTGTAACCCTCTCCCTCAAATGGCTCCTGGGTATTACATAGGGTGAACATTATTATAAAAAATGCCTGCCTATCTATCTATCTATCTATCTATCTATCTATCTATCTATCTATCTCTCTATTTTGACTTGATCGTATCGATTTTCGTTAGTCTGTTCATATCTATCTATCTATCTATCTTGGCTTGTTTGTATCTATTTTTGTTGGTCTGTTCTTATCTATCTATCTATCTATCTATCTATCTATCTATCTCCGTCAGTTCATATCTATCTATCTATCTATCTATCTATCTTGGCTTGATCGTGTCGATTTATTTTCGTTAGTCTGTTCATATCTCTCTCCCTCTCTTTCTCCCTCTTTCTCCCTCTTTCTCCACCCCCCCTCTCTCTCTATCTATCTATCTATCTTGGCTTGTTTATATCTATTTTTGTTGGTCTGTTCTTATCTATCTATCTATCTATCTCAGTCAGTTCATATCTATCTATCTATCTATCTTGGCTTGATCGTGTCGATTTATTTTCGTTAGTCTGTTCATATCTCTCTCCCTTTTTCTCCCTCTTTCTCCACCCCCTCTCTCTCTCTCTCTTTCTCTCTCTCTCTATCTATCTATCTTGACCTGTTCATATCTATTTATCCATGTTGGTATGTTCACTATCTATCTATCTATCTATCTTGGCTTGATCGTGTCGATTTATTTTCGTTAGTCTGTTCATATCTCTCTCCATCTCTTTCTTCCTCTCCCCCCTCTCTCTCTCTACCTCTCTCTCTCTCTCTATCTATCTATCTTGGCCTGTTCATATCTATTTATCTATGTTGGTATGTTCACTATCTATCTATCTATCTATCTATCTATCTATCTATCTATCTTGGCTTGATCATATCAATTTATTTTCGTTAGTCTGTTCATCTCTCTCTCTCTCTCTCCCTCTCTCTCTCTCTATCTATCTTGGCCTGTTCTTATCTATTTATCTATATTGGTATGTTATCTATCTATCTATCTATCTATCTATCTATCTATCTATCTATCTATCTGTACGTGTGTTAGTTTGATTTATTAGCAGATTCCACATCTCTCGACTGTAAACATTACTAAGTCTGTTGCAAATGACAGATTACCGTGGGGAATAACCGAAAAGACAGCAGATATCTTAAGTGAAGGTTGACAAGGGTTAATTGACTGGAAAATCTAAGTGGAATTTAGGGATTTCTGTTAACAACGTACTCAGTAATCATTTTTATTGGCGTCCGTTTATCTCTGCTAATTTAACAGCCCACTTTTTAGACGCCAGCAACCAGAGGGCCTATATTTTTTATCCGAACATTTGAACAAAGACGTTTTTTTCTCTTTTTACTGACGCAATAACATCGAATCTTATTAATATCAATATTATTGTTATAAATAATTTTAAACGATTATCGATAAACAAGCTGATTCGTTCATCATCATTATAATCTTCTTTTTTCTTCTTCCTCTTCTTCTTTTTCTTATTCTTCCTCCTCTTCTTCTTGTACATGGCGTTTCTCTTCGGAATTTGGGCGATCATCTCCAGACCTTCCTACTTCGTAGCTTTAAGCAAATGTTCGTTCGCTTTTGATCGCTATCAATCCTTATTCTGTGATACATTTACACAAACTCAATAGGCAGATTATTCGCTGTTTCTTTCTGTCCCTTTTACCTTCAACATTGCCTTTTGAATATCAAATTCTCCAAGCACTCTTTCCTCATTATGTTTCCAAAAACATTCAACTGTCTATCCCTGATCCTAAGCATAAGTAATCTTTTCGATTCCATTTTCCTTAAACATTCCTCGTTGCTCCCATACTCTGTCTATAGAATTCTCAGCATCTTTCTGTAGAACTGCATTTCCGCTTCTTCTAGTTTTCTCTTCTGTCCAGCATTCATTGCCTTTACGAAGCATCTCAGTACTCCTTTTTTGTTTTTAACAAAATTTCTGTTTTCCTTTCTTAATATTAGGCTGTTACATAAATTCATTCGTTTTTTATAACTAATTTTACTACTTAATTTTTAATAATAGTACTGATACATAATTCAACTATGTATTCCTCTTCATTATTTCTGGGATCTTGTCAAGGATCCAATGAATGTTCGATGGCTCGACAATAGAAATCACTAAGTTTTGACTCAAAACATTTATCAAGCAACGTTTTAAGCTCCATATCGTTGTTGAATGAAACACCCCTCAAATTGTTAGAAAGCAACCGAAAAATGTAATGATGCCTGTGGTAGAACTTTCCAACCAACCTCTTTCTCTGTATCAACAAGTAGCTTGATGCCGAGTGTATTAAAAGAGCGCTGGAGTTTGTTTCTCTCGGTCAGTGGGTGTGGCACCCATACGCTGTCTTTATGAACATTATCCATTGAGTAAAGATGTCGAGCGACGGTAACATGAGGGCTTGTCATCTTCTGAGCCAATTCCTTAGTGGTCTGGCGCAGTTCTTCTATAATCAGCATGTGCAAGTGGTTCTCATCAAAGTGAACAGATCGCCCAGAATGCAAAGTCTGTGTGTTCGAACTTCCCTTCCTTGAAACGGAAAACTTAATGAAGTCATCTCCGTACACAGCACAAATGCATTGAGCAGGTTTGGCAGCATTGTGACCTTCATTAAAAGCAAAGAGAAGAAGATGTAGAACATGATCATTCTTGTCCCCTCGGCATTCTATCTCAAAGGCGTGTGTAATCTGAAATAAAATAATAAAATTTCAGTATCGTTAGACAACAGTTTTTTGCGATGTCAACGAACACTCGTAGCCACTCGTTGGTAATTTACCTGATGCTCGTTGTAGTAGAGAATTTGTAATCGCAGATACAACTATATTAATGCCGTTGAACAATACTAGTGTCAGTCGCCTTCGAATAACACTTGCACTAATAGTACTTGCTCGATCATACTCGCTCGAAAAGTAACCACCAAATAGTAATCCATATAGAGATCCGTGTAGTGAAAAGAATAGAGGATAGTTTAGAAAGAGTGATCCGTATAGTTATAGAGGATAGAATAGGAAAGGTGATCAATTAGACGCTACGCTTATTCCCATATATATATATAATTTTAGGATCACGTGGTCTACTTATTAGAAACGGGATCGCCTGCGTTTGCTCACAGGCGATCTATGTTCAAACTACAGTGTCGGCAGCGACACTTTATTCCTATATAACAAGTTTCACAGGATGACCAGAGTTACCAAGAAACAAAAAAATGCTACAAAAAGTTTTTCTTCGAGATTATTCGCAGAACATCATACAAAAAACGAACCAATATATGTAACTACTTAAGGATTGCATCCGTGGGCGATCACCTGGCTTCAACAATAAGAGTTCTTTTCCTGTATGTATGTGATATTTTTGCTGCTGTTTATTTTTATAGCATGTTTTTTTTTCCGAACTGCAGATGAATTTTCTGTATGCGGATAGAATAAATGATGCAATGTGTGTAATAATTTTCTTAGACGACGACTCATTAGATGTTGTGCAGGATAATTTCTAACTCTACTGGTGTATTTCTTAGTTCCAGTCATAGGTTTACAGCGTTTGCTTCTCGTCGTTTCAATATGCCTTCAGTCCACTTATGCATCTTTTCCCAGGATTGGTGAAACTTTTAAGTTTAACAACTTGAAATGTCAGGCGTCTTACCTTGTTGTTGAAAACGCATTCACTTCACCTCTGCGTTTGATGATGTGCTGATTGTAACTCTTCAGTCAAAATTTAGTTGTCTGTAGCGGACTGGCGTAAAATGTACGCAGCACATTCTTGGACGGTTCCTTTCGCGATTCCAATTCCTCTTCGCATTTATATGCAACGTTTTCCGTTACCAGTTAAAATACTTCCAGGGCAGTTAAATTTCCCTAGTTGCTTTATTATGACGTCTCTTTATCTGTTATGTGTCATTTTCATATTATCTGTTACGTGTCATTTTCACAAGCTGCTTTATTATGACGTCTCTTTATCTGTTATGTGTCATTTTCATATTATGTTATGTATCATTTTCACAAGCTGCTTTATTTTGACGTCTCTTTATCTGTTATGTGTCATTTTCATATTATCTGTTACGTGTCATTTTCACAAGCTGCTTTATTATGACGTCTCTTTATCTGTTATGTGTCATTTTCATATTATCTGTTATGTGTTATTTTCCCTAGTTGCTTTATTATGACGTCTCTTTATCTGTTATGTGTCATTTTCATATTATCTGTTATGTGCCATTTTCCCTAGTTGCTTTATTATGACGTCTCTTTATCTGATATGTGTCATTTTCAAATTATGTTATGTGACATTTTCACAAGCTGCTTTATTTTGATGTCTCTTTATCTGTTATGTGTCATTTTCAAATTATCTGTTATGTGTTATTTTCCCTAGTTGCTTTATTTTGACGTCTCTTTATCTGTTATATGTCATTTCCTAGGATACCACGGCGTGGTGTAATGGTTAGCAAGCTTGTCTCGCCAAAACAATTGAGTTTGATCGTCACTGGGTGCTCCATACTTTCGGCCTTGTGCCACATCTAAGCTACGCTTAGAAAATCATTTTCTTCCTCACTAGGTGCCCCATACGTTCGGCCTTGTGCCACATCTAAAATACGCTTAGAAAATCATTATGTGTCATTTCCTGCCATGATGTATGTGATCATGGCTGTCCATAACTTCTTGTCATTTGTAGCTGTAAGCATTGTTTGTGCCTTTACTAATCATTCAAGTCAATGATCCGTCATCGTATAACACGAGCTGTTTACGTCGCTTACGTGATGTTTCCTTTTGGACTCCTTACATTCAATATGTCCCGTGAGGGTCAAATTAAAATGCGAATAGGAATTACAAAGAAACTGCTGTTAATAATAATAATAATAATAATCATAATAATAAAGAAACACTTGAACTTTCTGGAAATCTATAAAGAAAGAAGATTTGGAGTATTTAACACACACAAGACACAATGAAGGCACAATGAGTAAACTACTTAAAGATTTTGTGTTAATGTATAATGGAATAAGAACAGAGAACGATGTTGTGGAAAGTCAAGATTATCCACCGATAGAATTGCATTGAAAAGGATTTTACTAAAGAAAAGCGTTAAAATGAGAAAAGAAATGTATTGTCAATGGTCAATAAATAAAGCAAATAATACGGAAACATTATTATATTAATTATGGATTATTATATTTAATATGTAAAAAGCATATATAGCATATCTTTTTCAGAATATTTCTTCGAGTTAAGATTACGCATATAAGATTAAGATATGTTAAAAGTTCACTCAAAACTTGTTTTGCTATCATTACCATGTCTGGAAATAAATTTATGTTTAAAGTTGTCCTTTGTTTTGTTTTTATTTGTTTGTTTTTTGCTAGCGAACATTCATAACAGACGAATATTCAAATGATATTTATATTATTTTATTTTATGATTTCACTTCGAGAAAGGTAATAAAGCAACTAAGGCGCAAGAGATTATTGAGTGTAGGAGAATATGAGAAAATATACTACCAAGGAGAGAGAAGAATAAAATATTCGAGAAATATTATTAAAGAACATATGCTCTCTGCGGTAGAGCGCATTCAAGCCTGTAGATGTATTGTCTAATAAATAAACTCAAATACAAGTATCCACTAAAAATAACTTTTTAAGTCATATATATATATATATATATATATATATATATATATATATATATATATATATGTTTGACTAGGTAATTAATGTTTGTCGGGCTCATTACAACCTTTAACAAAATATACTATTGATATAACTTAGGTGTTAAAATAATTCCTTTATTCTAACTAATATATATATATATATATATATATATATGGCCAGATATGTCTATGCCTTATTGTGTGGATCTTAGTTTTATTTATTGTACGCTTATGATCAGTACTGCTGACTGATGTCAAATTTCCTCAACACTACTTCAGTCACACTCCTCATTTCAACCCTCCAGTCGAGGAGTTAAGGAGACCACTTCCTTTGATTTTCGCCGTCTTAAGTTAGGCTATATTAATTTTGCCATTTTTTAATTGATACATTTTGCTAAAAAA